CTGGATGAAAGAGGAAGAGCAGAGAGTGAACTGAGGCTCTCAGACAAACTTTCCAGTTTGTGGAGCAACCCCAAGCCAATCTATGGAATGCTGAAGGCCAGAATTCGGGAAAATAGCCCGTCCCTTTGTCATCCCCTCACACCATTGCTCTGCTCCCTAGTCATACTTTACATTAACAGTGGGGAGGTGTTGTACGACTGTGTTTTCTGCAGATCTGAAAAGGGGCTATGTTAGGAAGAATGTATTTCTCTGTGAAGCTTGCTGTCTAAATACTGCAGAACAAAATACAGACTTTCCTGTCAAAAAAGGAAGTGTACTGAGGAACTGGCTTTTTTAAAAGTCATACTGAGGAGGGGAGAAGAGCATTTGTGCACGTATCTGTGCGTGTGGTAGAAGCGAGGAAATTTAGTGCGGAGAAAGCTGTTCAAATTAGGTTAAAATAGAGTTTATAGATGAAATCTGCTTACCTCTGTTGTTATTACATGATCGTATTGTCAATGATTAACAAAGGAGCCACTGTCTCTTTAAACTATTCAGTGCTAGGAGTTCCCAAGTGGAATTTCACCTCTCCAGTGTGTGTGTGTGTGTGTGTGTGTGTGTGTGTCCACTGATGACCAGCTTACAGGACAAAACAGTGTGGATCTAGCCAAGTTTATGCTGGTCTAATAACATACTCATGTATATGACATTAGGCTCCAAAAGGTTTCAAATGCACCCTCAGACTCTGTTGCCTAGCACATTATTTCCAAGAAGAGCTGGCCTCCAGTCCAAACTGCCTGCACACTAAGCAATGATGAAATGCACATCTTTCCAGAAAAGAGTGAGTGGTTTTCAGTGTCCCTCTTCCCACTGTCTCCCAAGGAGTGAAAGGAAAAGTGGATTAAAGTGCTCACAAACTTGGAAAGCCACTCACTATACCACAGCTTCTGGGAAAGAAGGCATAGAGCTCTAAGTTACAGAATCCTCTGAATGTGAACTGAAGAGCTTAGCCACCAATGGAGAACTGAGCTTGGGCTTTGGAGACTAGGAAAATAACTTTGTAGAAGCTGGGAATTATAAATGCTGTTGGGACATCTGAGAGACCCATATAGGGCCCTTCCCTTCCATTCCGTGTCTCTCACCCAACCTCACTGACTCTCTTTTCAGAAAAAGAAACAGACACACACATTATAAAACAAAAATGAAAAAGCAGTTTTACCCTTCCTTTCACAAAAATCCTTGTTTTTCTCATTTCTCATGTTTCCATGTCGACATTTTGTTGCCTGCAAGCATTTTTAAAAGTAGAGGTTGACTGCAGGGGGAAATGGGTGATGGTGGTCAAAGGTAGAAAATATCTGGTGATGTGATGGTGACTATAGTTAACAATATTGTATATTTCAAAGATGTTAAGAAAGTAGATCTTAAAAATTTTCATGACACGGAAGAAAACTGCAACTATGTGAGGTGATGGATGTTAATTGGACTTATTATGGTGATCATTTCACAATATATACGTATATCAAATCATATTGTATCTTAAATGGATACAATGTTATATGCCAATTATATCTCAATAAAAGTGGGAACATTTTAAAAATAAAAGTAGTCCATCAGGTCACTTGCTGTTACTTTGTTTTTAAATCATGACCCCTTTAGCCATAATGACTGGGTGGCAGCCTTAATCAGATGTTTATGGCTGGTTAATGCCATAAAAATTTCGAGCCCAAATGGAAAAGGACTCTTACTCTGCTGTGCTTGAGGTGTTTCCTCAGCTTCCCCACCATGCTAACTCTTTAAAAAAATTCTTGTTGCACATACACAGAACCAAATCAAACCAACCAGTATAGAGGAACACCTAAGTAAAGTGTCCCCCCACCCACTTATCCCTCATTCCCGGTTTTATGGGGCCAGTTGCAACTGGTGGCCAGCTGGAATCCTGGGTGGAAGTAAATTAACTGGAAACGTCAAGTCACTGTTGCAGTCAACTGGAAAAAAGGAAAGAATGCCAGAGAGCCCAACGCAACTCAGAGCACTTTCCTGCAAGCAGGAAGACCTTCGGTAATTGCCTGTAGGGCGGAGGCCAGGCCACCAAATCCCATTTCTCAGATGCTCTCAATGTAAAGGCGAAGAGCTCCAGGGAATGCTTCCTAAAGGAATTGGAAGAGGTCTTTCCGCATTTCTAACTTGAAATAAATACTGTAACCCTATTTGCTTCTTGAGAGAAAGCTTCGGTCTTGGTTCCAAGTTTCTATGATTGATACTACTATATTACTATTACTACTACTACTAACAACAATAATAGTTGTTATTATTATATTCCAAGAATAGCACTTCTAATTATCTTGTGAATTTTTGTTTTCTTAGGAAGAAGGAACAACTAAAAAGTTGCTTGGCTTTTCAAGGCAAAAAAAGGTTAAAAAGTAGTTAATAAAGTAGATAGGACACTTTCACTTGTTGCAAATTAACAAATAATAAAGTGCAGATAATAGACTTTCCACAACACCCCCTCCCCAGATTCCTTCATAAAAAGAGAGGGAGGAAGAGAGGAAGGGAAGGAGGAAGGGAGGGAGGAAGAAAGGAAAGGAGGGAGGGAGGGAGGAAGGAAATTCTTATTATTTGTAGCTAAGACTCAAATTTCATCACTCCAGCACAGCAAAACCTCTTTTGAAATAGCTGCCACTCTATAGGACACACACCTCAGTCTTGCTAAGAATGCTAAAATTCAGAAGTTTAAAACTTATTGGGAACTTCACAAACTAGAGAAAAGAAATAGGGCAGATTTGCATCCTTTCCATTACACCATGCCATCAGGAATATATTCTATAATAATTTCCTTCAGGCAATCACATTCCCAGTTTTCACAGTTTGTTTTTTTTTATTATTTTCAAGGGAACAAAACAGACCCACACTTTCTTTACCTAACGCTAGCCTGAAGAATCTACTGAATTCTATTGATTTTTCTCTCTTTGAACACAAGCTCATTAACCTGAAACACTAAGGGGATAACTATATTTCACCAAGCCTATAACTGAGTGTCTGAAAACAAAAAGATCCCAAGACAGTAATACAGCCCTCTCCCTAGGTAGGATTCCTTTTTCTTCCCCCTGCAAATTTAGCTGCAGAAGCTGTGACATTGATTCCATAACCCTAAAGACTTTCGCATCAGTTAGAAGCAGCTTTCTTTAAATTCATCCTTTATTGTAATGGTTAGCAAAATCAAGGTTCCTGTCTTTCCAACAACTTCTACATTCTTACAAGCTACAGAGTGTGGGTAAATGTTAGCATCAAATAGCAGGGCTGCTGCGCCAGCAAGCTCCTCAGCCTCCTCTCAGCTAAGCGAGCTAGGGCTCCACCAAGGAGCTATCTTGGATATATGGAAATGAGGCCTTCCCAAAACCCTCCAGGGACTTTTTCGAAAAGAAAAAAGCGATCAGGAAAAAATTAGACAACACAGACATCAGAAGCAGCCTGTTAGACAAGTCTCTTCAAGAAGCCCCACGAGTGGGGCTACATTTCTTTTATCTTCCTAATCCAAGAGAATGAGAGATGTGACCCCACTCTTAAATAAATAAATAAATAAATAAATAAATAAATAAATAAATAAATAGCAGCTATCTTTACCCAAGGAACCAATATAATAATTCTGTGGTCTTGACTTTTGAGATCTCTGGTGAGATCAGATGATCTCTACCCTTCCATTCAAGGCAACAGACGTCTTCAAACTGTTTTTTAATTTGATTTATCCTTTGAAACAGAAAGTGCATTACATTTAACTGGTCTTGCAAAGGGGGGTTCTCTTCTCTTTACAAACCGAATTCCTTATATAAATTAATAAATGTTAAAGATGCTAATATATCACCATTATTAGCTTAAAAAAGAAAACAATATACATAGTCTATAGTATTCTTATGATACAAAACACTTCAAATTCAATTACAGCAACTAAGTGAATTTTTATGTTTCTGACCCAGAGCAGTTGTAACAATTCCCACCATCTACTTTAACACGCATTTTATCAGAAAGGAATTAAATTAAATGCAAGCTATTGTAGCCCCTCCCTCCCCAATACTTTCTTTAAATCACTAATAAATAGCAACAAACGACTGTGCAATTTCTGAGAGGGACGGAGAGGCAGGTCTGAGGCCTTCCCTGGTTCCATGTCTTCTACTTCGAGTCCTGGAGGCGGCAGCGGGACGCCTGGCTAGGGGGTGGTCAGGGACGAGCCACAAGGGACAAAGGGAAAAGTGAGACTGAACAAATCCAAACCCGGGCGAGGAGCGGGGGTGGAGAACATTCTTGTCTCGCTTCTCAAATTAAGTTCCAAATAAAAGGGAAACGTGTGGTTTGAGTATTTCTTAAAGGGGGGGAGGGGGCAGAGTGAAGGAAGAAGGAGGGCCATCTTTTTATACCAAATTCAAAAAAGCATTTTACATTTTAAATATTCACAATAAAGTAACTTCTAGTCAGTGTGACTCACGATTTATTTACAAAGAGCCTTCAACAGGTTGCTTTAGTCGGCACAGCAGTTTGTGGGGGGAGAAGCCGCCCGCTCTCCTCCCATCTGTGGCGGTGGCCCGCCCGCGTGGCTCCGAGGTCCCTGCGGTGGGTGTGGAGCCTTCAAGAACACCTCTCCGCGCCCCGCCCCGGCCGGCTCCGGGGGCGCAGGCGGGAGGGGGCGGTGCGGGGACCGCGGCAGCTCGCGCCGGGGGGACGGGTCTAGGGGACCGAGCGGGGCCAGGAGGGTGGCCCAGCTGCGAGTTTCGGTTGCCTTATCTATGCAGTGCATTTCGAGGTCTTTTCTGCCTTCTGATCAACCCCCGAGTCTCTCTCTCGCTCTCTCTTCCCCGACCCCCTCAACTTCCAGGTTAAAAAAATAGATATGTACATCTCAGAAAATAGCAAAGGGCCCCGGCGGTTGCGGCCGGGTCCTCCGGGGCCCCGAGGGGCGGGCAGGCGGGGCGCGCGCGGTCCCCGGGCGGAGGCCGGAGGCCGGAGGCCCGGCAGCCGCCGGGGGGGCGGCGGGCGCTCAGGACGAGCTCTCGTTCTCGGACGCATGCAGCAGGAGGCCGCCGCCGCCGCTGCTGGACTTGTGCTTCTTCAGCAGCTGCGTGATTTTCTCGTCGTCCGAGTTGGGGTCCAGAGGCTTGTTGTAGTCGTCGTCCTCCTCCTCGTTCTCCGAAGCCCCCTTGAGCCGCTCGGTCTCCGAATCCTGCTTCTTCTTGGCCGTGGCCATCTCGGCCGCGTGCTTCTTCCTCCACTTGGTCCGGCGGTTCTGGAACCAGACCTGAGCGCCAAGAAAGGGGAGGAGAGGGGAGCCAGCGGGGACAGGAATTGAAGGCGAGCGGATCCAGGCAAGGCTGCCTCTCCCAGACCCCCTGGTCGCTCCAGCGGGCGGGCCCCTGACGGCCTGCCACCCTCCCTCAGAGACCTTCCTTGTTCGGGCCGTCAAAGTCTGTCTCCAACGCCCCAGCTTCCTTCGAGTATCCCGCACCGACAAACTGACTGCCGTTGCCATAGCGATAGTAACACAAGAGTACAGACGTTGTCAGTGAGCTATCTCTAAGAAGAGAAAAAACTTGGAAACTTAAAATAAGTTTCCCTAAAAATGAGCCCGCTTTCCTACTTTGTAGTTTGAAGTAGAAAACTTCTCACCTTCCTACGTTTGCCTCATAATGACTGTGATTTTATTTGTTATTTACTTTCTTAGATTAAGACTTTGAAACAACTTGAAGTGTACTTGCTTCTTAGTGTGATTTGTGGGGGAAAGTACGGCATTTACCCCAGTTACCTCTGTTCTCCTTTTCATTTTTGGATATTTGTCTGTTTCACGGATCTCAAGTCTGAATCCACACAAACATGGTAGGTAAACACTCCCCTCCCCATTTACACTTGTAATGTACCATGTAAAGTTAAAAAAGAAAGAAAAAAGAAAAAGATTTGCTAAAACAGAAACCTCAAATCACTAATAATAATCAACATAAATGCTTGAAAATATTGAATAGGTTAGCTAAAATCATCACAGTAGTTTGTGTGTGAGTCTTTCTCTGTTGTTTTTCATAAAACCAAAAATCAAGCTGAAATTTTCATTAGTTATTTTTTAAAGTGAAATTTTGCCAATTACATTATTTCCCACTGTTAGCATGTCTAGTCTTTCAAATATTATTTTAATATTGTTCTTCTCTAAGACATTTATTTTATATAACATATTTTAAGCTATTCACGATGTTTGACACCGTGCTTGATACACATAATTTAACCTAAAGCATCAGCAATAAGCAAACAATTTCCCAAAGATATTATCCTCTTTTTATGCTACTCATCCATTTTCTCATCCATTATGTATTTTATCTAGAGAATCAGAATTGTTAGGAATTGATTTTTATTTTCCTTATACAGCTATAATAATTCACTTTTAGCCACACAGACTTATTTACGGTGACAAATGAAGACTTCCAGATTACTGTGGTAGGCTCTGTACCAACCACTGCAAAAATAATTTTAACTGTGATGGTATTCTAATGGTCACAAACAAAATCACTCCTGAAATGCATTTTATGATGCTTGCCCCAGGGGAAATACACTCTAACCAGCAGACGTGGCTAACAGTTATTCCTACTTAATTTAAGGAGCAACAAGATTACTAATGAAAACAGACTTATACTCCTTCCCCTCCAAAAACACCCAAATATAATAAACTGAAGAAGAGACACAAAAAAGAATACTGGAAATACTGGAAACCATTAGATTTAATTTGCCTACTGGTTCAATCCTTTTATTTTTCAGGGAAAGATTTCTCAAATTTGATTCCCTGGAAATATACTATACAACTCAATTATAAGCTAAGTGACATTTTAATTATAAACTGTTGTCACAAACAGTAAAATATCATACATCTGTTGATGAACTTAAACAGAATTCTTTCGTAATACAGTAATAATCTTGTCAATACATTTGGAAAATTGCTATTCCAAAGTTTTGGTCCTCAGGTAAACTAAAAGCAGATTCATGTCCTGCTAAGTTGGATCCTGTGGACTTTTTTTTTTTTTTAACCTACAAGTTAATTTAGTAGCACTATAAGGCTGATCTACATCGAGAAATTATATAACTAGCGGAGCTTGAATTGACAAACAAAAGCTTGAATATCCTTACAGATTGAATAAATAGAAGCTATCTAACTGGCGTGATCTATTCTAAGGGCTGATATTTCGGTCATGCTTTTATTCTCCAATAATGGCGAGTTCCCCCAGCACATGCTGCTATCTAGATTAACCTAATTTCAAAGGCGGGGGCTTGATTCCTTTTGTTCATCAACAGTTTGCCCGCCTCGAGACCCCAGGGCCTTTGTAACCCCCCACTCCCACCCCCTTCGCTGATTTCATCTTCTCCCCAGGCTCCTAAGATCCGCACCCCGGAGCGGCTGTTTGTTAGAGGGTTGTGTGTGTGTGCGCGCGCGCGTGCCCTTGTGTGTGCGTGTGTGTGTGCGCGCGCGCGCGTGTATGTGCGCGCGCGCGCGCTGGGGATTGGGAGACCATCCCTCGAGGTTTGCAAGGTCTACTCACCTTGACCTGACTCTCCGTCATTCCCAGCGAATAGGCCAAGCGAGCCCTCTCGGGCCCCGCCAAGTATTTCGTTTGTTCGAAAGTCTTCTCCAGAGCGAAGATCTGCTGGCCAGAAAACGTGGGTCTCGTGTGTTTTCTCTTCCCGTCTTTGTCCAACAAAATGGATCCTTGATCTGCGAGAACAGATAAACAAGGGATGGGGAAAAACAATCGGTTACAAGCGGCTCCACTGAACAGAAACAAACTCAAAACACGATGTTTTTTGGAAAGCTTATTCCGCGGCAGACATCAGAAGTGTCTGGCGCTTCCAGTCCCACCGCGCGCCTCCCTTGGCCTTTTTACGCCCACCTGTTTTTAAAAGCCGGGTGTGTTTGGAGCAGCAGTAAATAACCTTCTGCCGAACACAGACGTCAAACAGTGAGGGAGCGCATTGCTCAAGTTTGCCGGGGCCGAATCACCAGGCCCCAGTAAATTGAGGAATGCCGGGAAAAGGCCCCTCTCGCCTCCCAGTCCAGTCAGTGCTTGCTCGGCCCCGGAGACTTTGCTTGAGGATGACTAGGTTTTTTTTTTCTTCCCCCCCCCCCTTTTTTTCCTTTCCTTGAACGCTTTCTTAACCTGTGTCCGCACAACAAAGGGCGCCTTGTTTTTTGCACACAAGAGAGCTAAATCGCCCCCAAGTCTAACGCCTCTGTGGCCGAGGGGGAGGGGGTGCCGCCTTTGTTGGCGGTCCCTACATGGCCATCAAAACGAATACAATAGCGTCTCCCCGACACCCTCACCCGCCCGGGCCGCCCTCCATCCGGAGGCTTCCCAAAGGAGCCTCTACTTAGCTCCCGCAACTTCCCTTAGTTACTAACGCTCAGCCACACGAAAGAGGCCTGGAGACTCGGGGGACTCAGTCAAGAGCAAAGAACGGAACAAGAGAAAGACCTGGGCTGGGCCTCGAACTCCACTTGGAAGATTAGGAGCCTCCGCGGCGGTGGCCAACTACCCAGAAAATTGGACGGATCGCGGGGCAACTCAGTTGGTTTCAAGCAAGGTCTTGGTGGGATGTGCATATTCCCCGGTCCTTCTGTCGCCACCTCGTTCTTCCTCTGGTTCATTTTCATGTTAGGATGTTGAGGGCCACGATGCTTCTCAAAATTCCCAGGCCCAGGATGTCCCGGCCCTTCGCCACCCCCACACCCCTTCCCCCGGGCCGAGGCAGGTGGGAAAGTGAGAGCCCAGCGGAGGGGAGTGGCCCGAAGTGACTGAGCTCGTTCCTGCGGCTGCCGCGGGCCTGTCTTCAATGGGCTCACCCGGCCCGACTGTACTGCGGGGGGGGGGGGGGGAGCTCCTCGAAGGCGAAGAGGTTAGGTAGGGACACCCTGGGCCGAGAAGTACATGCAAATACACGCACTCGGGCGGGGGTTGTGGAGGGCTTGCCGCTGTCGTGCCCCACCAGTTCGCAGGGAGGCCAGTTAGGCTGGCGTAGGTAGAGTGGGGCCCTCGCCGACAGTCGGGAGCCAGGAAAGAAGGGGTGTAGCCGGGGTCTCAATGGCCTCTCCTGCCCTTCCCACCTCTTTAACCCAGGCAGGGCCTGAGATTGTCGTCAGGCTGCTCCAGAGTAACCGAGGCCTCGGGTGAGACACACGCCTAGCACCGCGTTGTTTTCAACGCGGACTCATGCACACCCGCTCCTCGAGGCGTGCCCAAGACTTGGAGAGCGGGGGGGCCCTTGGACGCAAGCTCAGGGAACCCAGAGTCCCTCAATGAATGCCCTGGCAGAGCCCAAATCGTGCGATTCTGGCGCTGCCAACCTACTGGGGAGCCAAGAGGGTGCACGGATCCCCATGCACACCAGGGGCTATGACCCGAGAGTGGGCAGAACACGCACAGCTCAGGCGATCGTACTCACGAGGAGTGCAGGCCAGGCGGGCGTCCCTCCAGGGTGGGCTCTGCATAACTCCTGGCCAGAAGATGGGCGTCCGGCCGGGCAGCTCGGCCAGCGGCTTGGGGTACCGACCTACGGCGGCCACGGCCGCTGCGCTGGGGCTGAAGTAGAGCCCAGGCGGCGGCGGCGGCGGACTCAGGCTGCTGAAGCGGGGCAGGCCAGCCAGCAGCCCCGCTGGGGATGAGGCGGCGGCTGCAGCGGCCGCGGCCGCCGCGGCAGCTGCCGAAGCGGAGGAAGCGGAGGTGGACGAGGAAGAAGAGGAGGAGGAACCCGAGGGCGAGGCGGAGGGCAGGGCGGCCCCTGAGGCCACGGGCATGGAGGGCCGGCTCAGGATATCGTTGATGCCGTGGGGGGTGGCGGCTGAGAGCTGCTGTGGGGGGCTGCCCAGGGATGAGAGCCCCCCCGCCGTCGGGGGCTTCAGGCTGCCTGGGTTGTGGGCGCCCAAAGGCGGGGAGGGCGACGACGAGGAGGAGGAGGAGGACGAGGAGGAGGGGGGGCCAGCGGGCAACGGGGGGTACGCCGCGGGGTACAACGGGGTCTTCATTTCGGCCATGCTGTGCAGGGCAGCCAGGGGCGGGCTGCTGAGCAGGAACGCGCTCTGCCGGGTGCCCTCCATCGCCCCCACCGCTAACATCCCACGGCCAGGCCGGAGCCCGCAGCCACTCAACGAGGGCGCCGGCCGGTGCCCCGGTGGGGCTCAGGAGAGCGAGGAGTGCCGAGGGCGCGAGCGAGGAGTAGCTCCGCGCTCCCAGAGGCGACCTGCCAACTGGGCCGAGAACGCCGCCGCCGAGAGTTGCTCTCGAAGCTGCGCAGCAGAAATGTCCAAACACGCCACTGGAGAGGCGGTGGCTCGCCGAGATCAGTGGGCGTCCGGGCGGGTTTGGCTGTCCTTTCGCTCCTAGAGTCGGGGACTCAATCTCGGTCTCTTCTCTCTCTTCACTTTTCCTCGCCTCTCAATGTGCGCTACTTCTCATCTCCCCGGGAGAAATAAGCAAAGCAAAACCCAGGCCGGCCCCAGAGTTTGCAACAAAGTTAAGAATCACCGAATCTCCACTTCGATGTTGGCGTATAGGGACTGGCTCGCTTTCTTTGGGGAGTTTTAAAGGACTCCAGGTTCCGCCGGACGCGCTCCTCTAATCTTGACTGCCCTGTTCTTTCGCCGCGAGGCTGATTCGCACTCGGCGCTCGCTGCTCCCGGGGAGAGAGAGAGCGCATCCAGCCCGCGGGAGGATTTCGCCTCTGGGCGGGCTTCCTCCGCCGACTCTGCCAGGGGCTGGTGCGCCAGAAAGGGCAGTGCCACCAATCCCCGCCGCTCCCGGATTCGGCGCGCCAACCCGCCTTCCTCTCTGGGCCACGGGGCACTAGAGTTGCAATATTGAAAAGAAAAATGGGGAGAAAAAAAAAAACACAGAAAAACAAAGACTAAGTGTGAAAAGTCTGACGGCTTCGGTTACGGCTCCGTTCGTCTGTCCACTTCTGCAAACGGGCCTGGCGACCCCCGCCCCACCCCCCCAGCACCCTCTCTTCTTCTCACTCTCCGCCTTTGCCTCTCCTCTCTCGCATTTTCTTCGCGGCTTTACAGGGTTCGTTCTTCTAAGTCCTGTCCTCTGGCCAAGCTGACCCTCTCCGGCTCTTCCACTCCCTCTCTCTCTCCTCTCCTCTCTCCTCTCTCCCTCCGGGCCTGACAGTTCAGATGAAGCTCTCAAAGGTAATAAAACATTTGCATCACTCCCTACCCCTCTTTAGCTGGGGGACGAAAAGGAGGGGGAAGTGGGGGTCCAAAATGAGAACTTTGAGGGACGTCACTCAGAGGCTGCCGGGGAGGCGGAGCCGAGGAGCCGGGTACAGGCCGGGGGTGTAACCACCGTCTCCAATTGCGCGCAGCCTCGGGCAGCGCGTCGCCTCTGGGGTACGCCCACTCCGGAGCGCCGCGCCCTCTGACTGGCTGGGGAGGGCGAGCTGTAGGGCCGCGCCCGCTTGGTTCCCGCCTCCTCCCACCTCCATCTCTTCTGTGGGTGGGGCCAGGGGGTGGAGCCTGGCGAGTGGTGCGGTTCCGCCTTGGGGCCAGCGGACGCCTCAATTAATTGTGTTAAATAAAATGTAAAAGTGGAGGGGGGAGCAGAGACGGAGAGGGTATTACTTTTTAAAGAGAAGAATAATGAAAATCCAGCCCTTTTATGGAAAAGCAGTTCATATTCTTCCCTCGCCTCCAACCCTCGCCTGCTCGCGTCACCCTACCCACCCCCCTTTCCCCCACGAGCTCGCGACGCCTCACCTCGAACAGTCTGGTCCCTTGTAAAATGGAGCTAATGGAGCGGGCAGCCGGCGCAGCCCTGGCCTAGCTCCTTCTTTTGAAGGGATTAATTAAAGGCCATCTGGGCTCTTCCAGAATTGTGTAAATTAATTTGTTGCTCCTTAAGCCTGTAGATGTCCTTAATCCCCTAGTAGGGCGAAGGATCGTCCTCTTCCTTTTTTGCCACCGCCCTCTTTCCTTCTCTGTTCTTTCTTCGTTACTTTTCTTTTCATTCTTAGGTTTCTCAGCAATGATATCATTTATAGGGTTACTCAATACTCAGAGAACAGAATCAGCATAATGGGAATATTTGTTTTTCAGGTGATGTTTAGACCTGAGAGGAGTGACCCCCCCCTTTTTTTTTTTTAACTTTTCTTTCCTTCGATTATTGTCGTTATTTATTCTGAGTTTACACGGGAGCAGAATCACCAAAAGGGGCATCTATATAAGAAGTATCTGGGTATGCCCCAGGGGACTATAAGTTTTTGAAAACTGTCTCCAAAACTCTGGCCCCTTGCCCTCAACTCCAGGGTTGTTTTGAGAGATGGAGATGTTCAGCCTTCTGGGTTGTGGTGATGGGATGTCTAAGATTTAGGAGTTGGAGAGTGATTTCCTTTATTCCCTTTCTGTCTTCCATCCCTGGTACCTTGTATGAGGATCTTGAAATTGCTGGCAGGGTTGAGCTGTGCAAGGGAGGAGGAAGACTTTTGCACAATTCTGAGATTTCAGGATGTTGAAGTAACACACCAATGAGGGGTAGTCACTAGAGCAATTTGGATGAGATCATGAAGTCCAAACTTAATTCTTAGAAAATAGAAATAAATAGCTCAAGAATAAAATCTGAACGGCACCACCCATGGATGGAGTTTGACTGTGAGTGCCAAAGCCCTCCTATGGGTCCAAGCACCAAAAGCTAGGAGGGCTTATTCCGCTTTGATAGCTCTCATTTCTAAAGCTTTGGTCTTTTCAAGGTGGCAGCTTGAGCTTGAGTTGTTTTTTAAAAATGTTTTTGTTTACCCTTTGCCACTTTTATTATTCATTTCTGAGATAAAAGTAATTTTGTTTTTATTTGGTCCCCCTCTTCGTTCTCCACCCGCTGGCATTAACTTCGAGACTGGGCTAAATCGATCACTTCTCAGACCTTAGACTCTGACCTGAAAGAAAGTGAATTCCTTCCTCCACGTGAATTATGCTGAGTTGGGCAAGAAAACAGTTCATGCGGGGACTGTCTGCATTTCCCTACGAGGGAGGATGCTCTGCTGGGCTATGGGTCTAAACCCCAGCGCCCTGCCATTTCGGCCAAAAGACTTCAACGGAAGGATGAGGCGGGGAGCCGAGCTGGGGCCGAGTTGCTGGAGCCCCTCTGCCCCTCGCTTCGTTACAAACGAAACTTTTCCTTACCTCACGGGCTTCCACTTGACAGTGGCACACAATCTCCCTCCTGAACCCCCGCACCTGGACCACCAGCGACCTCCTCACATTCCCCCAGTACACTACATTCTCAAGAACTAGGTAGGAACGGAGGGGGGGAAGGAGGCCAGTGATCCCCAAAGATTCCAATTTCTAAAAACGATCCCCCCTTTATTTCATGTAAATATTGTGACCCGGGAAAGAATTGGATATTCTCCTTTTGTAAATTTAGTATCTGCTACGGGGAGAAGTGAGGTAAAGAGACAGAGAAATATGACAGAGACATTCAACTCAATCCAACCAACTCTGGCTTAACTGACATTGGTAAATAGTTGCAAAGCTGGGTGCAAGGCATTTCCATCGTTTGCTTTTATTTATCATTCACACTGAGGAATTAAAATAGCAGCATTTTTTTCTTGTGACAACAAAACAATTCTGGGGTCTGTGTACCTTGATTCCCGGGGGGGTTAACCCTGGGTGCCTGAATCCCGCGTGAGGCAGCTTGTATTCCAGACACACACTGCGCTGCGCTGAAGGAAGGCGGATGCCTCCTGCCTGGTGCTGGTTGTCATCGATCTGCTCTGTCTGTCTCCAGCTGGGAGCGGGAAGAGCGAGAGGCGTCTTCCGAGGGGGGTGGGCTGCTCCTGTCACTCGCGCGCGGAGAGATGTCACCCTGCCCCTGCAGAACTATTACCACCTTAGGGGCCGAGTCTTGGAAGAACAGATCCCGATGCTGACCAGGGAGGCCTGTTTCTGGTCGGGGCCGTCCTGCACGCGGCTTACAGAGGCCCTAGAGAGTCCGGACTTTCCCTTGGGGAATCCCCAGGACCCGCACGCCTTTCTGCCCAGGACCTAATAAAGTCAGACATTTCTAAGTCCAAGTAGGAGAAGACTCTAGTAGAACGTGTAACACGTGGTCGCGACACCCCCCTCGCATTTCAGCACAATATATATATTTTAGGGGGGGGCTGTGTTTGAAAGCGAACGATTTGCATTTTAATTGAAAATAAATGAAAGAGTGTTGGCAAATTTTGAGGTTGCAAAAAAAGCTAAAATGATAGGGATGAGGAAAGCTACACGCCTGCCCTTGACTTTCTTGAGCCCGAGAACAAACGAACCAGTTTTCAAGTTATGGTTGTTAGCCTGCTCCCACTGTTACGCAGTTAGACCCTCGGTCTAACCCTGGATCAGAATCGCCAGGCGCGTTTGGATTCTTCTGCTTTAAGTTAAAGGAACAGCCACTAAATTCAGGATAACTCGCAGAAGGAATGCAAATGAAATCTCAGCTAAATGTACTTAAATTCAGCAGTCGGGAATGAATGATAACTATTCTTCCCCAAATATATTAACGTCCAGTGTTGGGGATACTCAAGTGTAGCCACAAGAAGCCTATTTTACATTCGCAAAAGGCGGGGGACACGGGCGGGGGTGGCGGGTATGAAGGGAATTAGGTGTGTGTTTCCGGCCAATAACCTCTCTGAAATGTGTTTGCTTCAATTGCCTAGATGACTTCTTTAAGGACTCCACTTCGCCAGGGAGTGGGACCTGTGCGGGCTGAACCCGGAGGCCAGCTGGGTTTATGTGAGTATTGTAAGAGGGGTTGAGCAGGCACAAGGGAGAAGGAAGAAATGTCCACAAGCTTGAAACAAGTCAGTCTCAGAGAAGGAGAGCAGGGGAAAGGGGCTGCTTTTCTGTCTGTCCGTCTCTTTGCCTCCTGTAAACGCCATGAAGGGGAACTGGACCATTGGCTGCTTCTGCTGACCAGCAACTAAGGAGACGGATTTGGGAAGCGCTGGAGTAGAAAGAGGCCAACAAATGCCCGGTGACCGAGAGTGCTGTAGGGTCTTGTGGTCCACGCTCTCCCAATGAGGCCAACAAAATATGTGAGGGAAGCGACTGTGTAGACTTAGAATCTGCTATCGGAAAGATCT